AGTCACACATTTATTTACTGAGGGAAGAAGGACTCAGTCAGTCACACATTTATTTACTGAGGCCAACTCTTCCAGGTTTTCTTCTATTGTCCTTGTTGCCAATAAGCTCCCAACTCATGACAACTTGAGACAAAACAGGGCTGGACCCATAGGGCTTTCCATTTCAGAAGCAGATCATGAGGACTTTTACTCGGCTAAAACCGCTTCAGAACCAAGTGTCCACTGATACACAGATGGTAGCTGAGCATGCAGTTCATTGTTCAGGGATTTGTCGGGGTCTCCTGCGTGGTAGGAAAGGATTCCACCACAGCACCCCCACTGTCCTCACCAAATTTATTCCATGTGCATACTGAACAAATAATCCGAGCAAGTGGACTATATGAAGAGGAGTGCTGCATCAGGACTAGAGGAGGAGGACTCATTAACAAGGTATGTACATGGCACTCTCTTGCCTGCTGAAAGTGAAGAGGACTTAACAAACTGACTGATGAAGATCAAAGACTACAGCCTTCAGTATGGATTACAACTCAACAAAAAAAAAGCAAAAAATCCTTCAAACGGGACCAATAGGCAACATCATGATAAATGGAGAGAGTATTGAAGATTGTCAAGGATTTCATTTACTTGGATTCACAATCAACAATCGTGGAAACAGCAGTCAAGAAATCAGACGGACAAATCTGCTGAAACAACCTCTTTTAAGTGTTCAAGAGCAAACATCGGAGGATTAAGGGGTACCTGATCCAAACCATGATGTTTTCAATATTCTCATGTCCATGTGAAAGCTGAACAACGGATAAAAAAGACTGAGAAAAACAGAGATACCTGTGAATGATAGTGTTGGTGAACAATATTTACTATACCGTGGGATTCCAGAAGAATCAACAGATCTATCTTGGGAGAAGTACAGTCAGAACGCACCTTAGAAGGCAGAATGGGGAGACATGTTGTCAGAAGCGACCAGTCCCCGAAGAAGAGCGTCATGCTTGGGAAAGTGGAGGGTCAGTGAGATGGACTGGTACAGTGGTTCTCAAACATGGCAGTGATTGGGTGGACGTTGCAGGACCAGGGAGTGTTTTGTTCTGTTGTACACAGGTTGCTCTGAGTCAGAAATGACTCGGTGGCACCGAACAGTAACCACAGCAACATTAAAAGAACAATTCTCAAAAGGGAACGTGTCAGGTCTTTAAAACATTTTTATTATACTTGACTGCATTTCTTCTTTCTTTAGTCAGGCATCAAAACTTGGAGAGCAGATGGCAGATTTGCACCTTTACAACCAGAAGCTTGGCAAGAAGCTGAAAGACAAGGAAAGCACAGTGGGTACGGTCAGCTCCCTGTCTGGTCCATTGACCCAGGCCACTGTCCTCCAGATGGTGTATCAATAGTGGGGTGACTTGTATACCATCTTGTTTTACACTACACCTGAGAACTCAATAGTTAAATGAGGATTTCTATGAGGCTGATAAGCTGGTTGTATTGGCTCCCGGCCCCTTTTCTACCCAGTCTGCTGTCCTGTGTGTTTGAGATAGGAGTGTCCTCATGTGTAGAGCACTCTCGGTGCGCCCATGTTCTAGCAAGTACCGTCCATGGTTGTACTAACATTCTGCTGCAGTCTGGCCTTTAAGAAAAAGGCCAAGCAACTCTTTCAGATCAAGGATCTCTGTCAACAGGCCAAAGGGCTGGGGGTGCTGAACCTCAATATGTGACCAAGTTTGGCTTCCACACGGTGACCTGCTGTGGCTTCATCCCTCAGGTGAGTGCCTGAATGGGACGTCCCTGCTTAGCTGATGACGCTCCTGAATGCCTAAGCTCTGGTCTCCCCACCCCTTGTACATGGCAGAGTGTCAGTCCCACAAGCACTGATTTCTGAAAGCAAAGTGTACGCTGCGATTCCTGGGAGGGTGGCTGTAGAGCGGGTGGAACAGCAGAGGGAACAACATGTGCAGAGGTTACCATGCAGGAAGAGAGTGAGGGGTCATGGGAGGTGGAGATGCAGGCCCTTATTCCAGGGAAGTGGGGCTAAGACCTGGGGAGGCCACCAGGGCTCTCTTGCTTGGATCTCTGCTCACTCTGTGGGACACGTTTGGGGCAGAGGAGCTATGGAGATGTTGGCTCCGAGTGAGGGCGGCCAGGAGGTGAGTCTCTGCGACACAGATGTTCTGGGGAGGCTCGGGCATCCACGTGATGATGACTTTGCTGGTGAACCTGGGTGTGTGAGAGGGTGCCCCGTATTGGGTTCCCTGCCCTTGGGACCTGGATTAAGCCCCAGTCTCTCAGCCCTTCTCCCAGCTTCTCTCTCTTTCTACATATACATAAGTGTTGCTGTGAAGTGTGACTCACAGTGACCCTGTAGAGAGGTTCTGAGGAGCAGCTGTGGGTTTGACCCACCAGCCGTGTGGTTAGCAGTCCAGTGCCGATCCTTACAACGCCATACTAGAAGTTCTCTAAGGACTCAGATGTATCTATCGATTAGCTTGCATTTCTGGAATTTAAGGCCAATAATGAACTTGAGGTCAATGAATGCGCTGGACTGCAAAGTCGTTTTGAACCACAAGGTTGGCTGTTCAAGCGCACTGGCTGCTCCTTGAGAACCCTAGACAGGGTTGCTATGAGTTGGAATTGACTCGACGACACTTAACAACAACAACAAGGTCAATAGAATGATAGGAAACGTACTCTTTGCATCTGGCTGCTTGTTCACTCAGCATAATTATCCATCCATGTCACTGATGATCAAAATTTCATTCCGTTGTGTGGATGTGCCTGTTACCTTTCACCTGCTGAGGGACACCTGGGCATCCAGTTTTTGTTTTTACAATAAAGCTGTTATGAACATTCATGCACAAGCCTTGGTGTGGGCAAATGTTTTCATTTATCTTGGCTACCTATCAGAGAAGGCTATGAATGGATCCGCTGGCAGGTGTAGATTTAATTTTTAAGAAGTTGCCACACTGTTTTCCAAAGTGGTTGCAACATCTTACACTCACTCCCACCAGATCTGTCCCCCTGTTCCGGTTCCTCTGTGCGTGTTGGTATCATTTAAGTTCTAACTTGCATTACCCTATGACTAGTGATGCAGACTGCCTTTTCATATGCTTATGTGCCAGCTCTATGTCTTCTTTGGTGACGTGTCTGTTCAAGTTGTTTGTCTATTTTGTTTTCTTGTTACTGAGTTCTGAGAATTTATATAATTGGTATGAACATATAAGTCCTTAATCAGTCATATAATTTACAAATATCTTCTTGTCATCTGTCATTTGTCTTTCTTATCTTAAAAGTGTCATTGGAAGAGTAGAAGTTTTAACTTTCTATGGAGTTCAATTTATGGGATTTTTTCTTTCGTGAATTGCGTTTTGGCATGTTGTTGTTGTTATTTGTCGTGGAGTCGGTTCCGACTCATAGCGACCCTGTA